GACAGGGGTCTTCTGCACACCCACTGGCAAGGTCGTATGAGTTCCTTGGAACTCTTATTTGCCATATGTCCCAGAATCTGGGCATGGAACAACAGGATTCAACATTTTTTTCTGGTGGTTTTTGGTCTTGCTTGCTTGCTTGTCCAGTTTATTTCTAGCCCTCTTATTGCTCCTTTTTGGAATGGGAATGTTTACCCTGTGCCATCATGGTAACTTTTCATGATCTTTTTATGGAGATTTATAGTTAAGAGCTTGTCTTGAGTCTGAGAACACACTAGGATATTTGAAAAATTCTGAAACTGTTGAGACTTTGACAAAAAGACTGTTGCTTTCCAGTTCTAAGAAGGATAGTTGTCCTATGTTGGCAGAATTATGAAACCACTGTCTTTATTTATTTGGAGGTTAAGATTTAAGAGGATGTGTTAGGGACTGAAACTGCCCAGGGGTGGATTGCAACCAGTAATCATAATCCATCAACTTCACTGGATTAAGGAACACTGTGCAAACTAATTGAGCTTGTTCCTGAGTATGTCGTATGGCAGACAGGGAGCCCTTGGGTACCGATGACTCTCTGGCGTTGTTCCTTGCAATGCTTCCTGGCTAGCACAAACTAAATACTTCTGCTCCGCCTCACCCTAGCACCATGAAGTTGTTACCTTTGTACCTACCAAGCATGTTACTGAATCTCACGCCATGATCTGCACTACACCTTTACTTGTTAAATTATGGGTACTGTGTATTGTATCTCAGCAACAGGGAATGACTAACACAGGGCATATAGAACAAAGTTTTTATGAACATTCTTGTACAAATCACCTTATAGACAGTCTTTTCTTACTCTTATGGAGCAATATATTTATGCAGCTGCAAAATAAGTCTGTAATTTTTAAAAATCACCAATTTTTCAAAGTGTTACTCTTTTATGTTCCCTGTCGCAATGTATGGGGGTGCTGTTTGCTCCAAATTCTCAAATACTTTTGTGACATAATAGTGTCTAAAGTTGCAGAAATGATTTGAGAAGAGCATTCTTTCTATGCATGAAAATGCCTCAGATGTTAAATTACCTGCTCCTTCAAAGTCGATCTCTACATGGTATGTAGCATGTGGGAAACACTAGCATTCACTTTGTTAGTCTAGCTTCCTAGGTAAGTGGGTTCCCCTTTTCCATCAGTACTCCAAGTACAACTCTTCTGAACAGTTTCTCCTGGGTGAAAGCAATGTAAGTGTTTATGCTCTTCAGTAGAATCTCCAAAGTGTTCTTGATGTTTATGAAGTGTAACAACAGATTCCAGACTTCCTAAAAAGTATATGTGCAATTCTAACTGTGAAAAGCCAGGAAACATACCAAGAAGTTTAGGCCATTTTAAAAAGTGCTTATAAACCAGGCATGATGGCACATTCCTGTAATCCCAGCACTTGGGAGGCTGAGGCAGAAGAATCGTGAGTTCGAGACTAGCCTGCACTACAAGTGAGCACAAGGCCAGCCTGAAATGCATAACAAGACTGCATCTCAGAAAGACACACACACACACATCAAATCAGAAAGAAAACAGAGAGCTGTTGAAATGTCCAGTTGAAAAGCTGTAAGGAGGGAGATTCAAGAAACCAGAAGAAAGAAACAACGATTTATACTCCTTCTCCTTTTACAAACTAAAAATAAACTAAATCAAGGTGATTTCTCCCATTTTGATGGACACAGTTGCACCAAGAACTACTGCAGTGCCGGCAGCTCAGGAGTTACTCAGATTGGTGAATGCTACAAGGCCAGGCAAGGGGAATCTATCAACCAATAATTGGCAGAAGGCAATTTGGGAGATGATGAGTAAGTTCACAGCCTTGACTGCAGCGATGTTCTCACGTGTGCTTTTCTCCAAACCACATTATATTCATTAACCATGCACCGCATTGTACATGGCACTCATATCTCAGTGATGCAGCTTCACAGAAAAACTACAAAAATTGAAATAAAAAGTAGCCTTAGACAAGAGGCTGTTATCTTGCTGAGTTCTTCAATGCAGTTATGCTGAGTACCAGATTCAATCCATATGCTGCAGTAGGCATTTAAAATCTTTCAAAACTTACCCTAACCTATATGCATACACCTCTCACACCTAAATACAAGTATCCCTGCATACTTTTGTACATCAGGGCTTGATCTATATTCTTCTATTTTTCCATTTCCTGGAAAATCCTTCCAAACTACTATACCTGCTGAAGTTCTACTATCTTTCTAGAGCTACTCACCATTAACAACTTTTGGATCATTTAACCACATTTAGGATGATCTGCTAAGATTACCAGATAAAAAGCCGGAGAAACCTCATTATATGGTACTATAATTCTGTCCTCAAACATTGTAGTAGTACAGGTGTCATTTTAATTTAAAAATTGAGAAACTAAGCTTCAGAGTGGTAGTCAATGCTCCAAATAACACATAATTATTGGCAGAACTGGAATTGAGTCCAGGATGAACTGATTATAGAACTTGAGCTATTCCCTCCACCTAGGGCCTACAAGGGCAACCCTTCCCTTCCTTAACCAAGATTACTGGTTTTGTATTAGAATTTTTTTTTAATGTGTTTAGCACAGGGTCTACAGGGTCTCACTACACAGATCGGACTTAGAGCAATCACCCTGTTTTTAGCCTCCCAAGCACTGGGATTACACGTGTGTGTCATCACACCCAGTCTCAATCGCTGTCAGTGTGCCCTGGGGGCAGGGCCAACACAGCACACCAGGGATTGAACCCTGATCCCTGCATCTGCCTAAACAGGAGCTTTAATCCACTGAGCTATCTGACCAGCCCCTAGAATCATCTTGATCATTGGTAAATAATGAGTTCCTTGAGTTCTTCAGTCATCTTTTTAGCCCACTGATTATCAAAGACAAAAATTATTATACTGGTTGAAAATGAGTGGCTCTAGTCCTGACATATCATGACTGATATGTCAGGACTAGAGCCACTTAACTCCTTCACCAAAAGCAAGGGGCCGAGGACCCAAAGCAGCCCTGTTCATTCAGATCCCAATCAAAGCATAAGTTGGAAGCAGTCACTCCAATCAACCTACATCCAAGGACAGTACCCTCATCCTGAAGAATTTAACACTCATATGTCCAAGGACAGTACCCTTCCTGAAGAATTTAACACTTGCAGGACACTCCTAAGTCATTCAAGCATGCAGATAAGAGCTTGTATGTTGAAGGGGGGGGGGTTGGTTCACATTAAGCGGCCTTGGAAAATACACAGTATGTTTTTCAACCTGCCTCAGAACAGTGAAAAACTAATTGTAAAACATGAAAAAAATAGTTTTCATGGAGTTTCTACACAGAGCCTTGGAAAATAGC